CCCAAGAAACCCACCCCAACTAACCCAACCCAACCCAATCCAACTCAACCAACCAACCCAACCCAACCCAGCCCCGCCCCGCCCGGCCCCGCCCCGGGCGCGCACACGGAGCGGAACTCGCCGTAGGGCCCGGCCGGCCGCAGGATGTCCTTGATGCCGATGATGTTGTCGTGCTTGAAGTGCTTGAGGATCTTCAGCTCGCGCAGCGTCCGCTTGGCGTTGGTCACCACGTCGAAGGCGTTGGGGATCTTCTTGATGGCCACCTGCTGGCCTGGGGGGCGGGGCCAGCGGTCGGGTGTGGCACAGGTGTGGCACAGGTGTGTTCAGGTGTGCCCAGGTGTGCCCAGGTGTGCTCAGGTGTGTTCAGGTGTGTCCCGGTGTGTTCAGGTGTGTCCAGGTGTGGCCCAGACTCTCACAGAGATGTCTCACCTGTCTCAGGTGTGCCCCAGGTATCTCAGGTGTATCTCACCTGTCTCACCTGTCCCAGGTATGTCCCAGGTGTGTCCCAGGTGTATCTCACCTGTCTCACCTGTCCCAGGTGTGTCCCAGGTGTGTCCCAGGTGTATCCCAGGTGTGTCTCACCTGTCCCAGGTATGTCCTAGCCCCTCCAGGTGTGTCCCAGGTATCTCAGGTGTGCCCAGGTGCATCTCACCTGCCCCAGGTGTATCTCACCTATCCCAGCTGTGCCCAGGTGTATCCCAGGTGTGCCCAGGTGTGTTTCAGGTGTGGCCCAGACCCTGTCAGGTGTGTCTCACCTGCCCCAGGTGTGTCCCAGCCCCTCCAGGTTTGTCCCAGGTGTGTCTCAGGTATCTCAGGTGTATCCCACGTGCATCTCACCTGTCTCACCTGCCCCAGGTCTATCCCAGGTGTGTCTCACCTGTCCCAGGTATGTCCCAGCCCCTCCAGGTGTGCCCAGGTGTATCCCAGGTGTGCCCAGGTGTGTTTCAGGTGTGGCCCAGACCCTGTCAGGTGTGTCTCACCTGCCCCAGGTGCGCCTCACCTGTGTCCCGCCTGCGGGCCGAGCTGACCACGCCGTAGGCGCCGGTGCCGATGGTCTCGATGACCTCGTAGTCGTCGCCCACCTCGAAGGTGACGTCGAGCGCGCGCGAGCGCAGCAGCGCCAGCGGCCCCGGGGGGTCCCGGGGGGGCTCCTCGGGGGCGGGGCCGGGCTCGGCCATCGCACCTGCCCGGGGGGGTCACCTGGGGGGGCAGGAATCACCTGGAAGGGACCCGAAATTGCCAGAAATGGACCCAAAATCGCCGGAAAGGGACACGAAATTGCCAGAAATTGACCCAAAATCCCCTAAAAATGGAGCCAAAATTGCCTGAAATGGACCCGAAATGACCAGAAATGCACCCAAAATCACCTGAAAGGGACCCAAAATTGCCTGAAATGGACCCAAAATCCCCTAAAATGGACCCAAAATCGCCTGAAAAGGACCCAAAATTGCCTGGAATGGACCCAAAATCAGCAAAAATGGAGCCAAAATCCCATTAAATTGACCCAAAATCACCAGAAATGCACCCAAAATCACCTGAAAGGGACACGAAATTGCCAGAAATGGACCCAAAATCACCTAAAAATGGAGCCAAAATCGCCTGAAATGGACCCAAAATCGCCTGAAAGGGACCCAAAATCACCTGGAAGGGACCCAAAATCAGCAAAAATTGACCCAAAATCACCTGAAATGCACCCAAAATCACCAGAAATGGACCCAAATTCCCATAAAATGGAGCCAAAATCACCGTAAAGGGACACGAAATCGCCAGAAATTGACCCAAAATCACCTAAAGTGGACCCGAAATCGCCTGAAAGGGACCCAAAATCAGCAAAAATAGAGCCAAAATCCCATTAAATTGACCCAAAATCAACTGAAACGGACCCAAAATCGCCTAAAGTGGAGCCAAAATCGCCTGAAATTGACCCAATATGACCAGAAATGGACCCAAAATCTCTTTAATTGGCCCAAAATCACCCAAAATGAACCCAAAATCCCCTGAAAAGGAACAAAATCCCCAGAAATTGACCCAAAATCTCTTTAATTGGCCCAAAATCACCTAAAATGGACCCAAAATCCCCTGAAATGGAACAAATTCCCCAGAAATTGACCCAAAATTGGTTAAAATTGACCCAAAATCACCTGGGGAGGCCCAAATCACCTTAAAGGACCCAAAATCGCCAGGAATTGACCAAAATCTCCTAAAATTCACCCAAAATGTCTTGAAAGGACCCAAAATCTGCCGAAATTGACCCAAAATCCGCGGGGGGGGCCCCAAAATTCCCCCAAAACGACCCAAAATCGCCCCAAAACGGAGCCCCGGGACCCCCCCTCCCCCCCCAGCTCCCTTTTTTGGGGATTTTTTGGGGATTTTTCCCAATTTTTTGGGATTTTTCCCAATTTGGGGATTTTTTTGGGATTTTTT